TTTTTTTATTAAAGTACTTTTAATAAAGTATTATTTCAACTTCTATCATAGCTATCCTTTACTCAACCAATACCCATTTATTCCATTTTTTAAAATATATGTCCCTGATTAGATATAAACTTTAAAGTATATGTCCCTAAAAAATTAGGAAGATAGCAATGATTATTGATATATTTTCCACTCTACCATTTATTAAATTTTACCTATGAACTAGACACTGTTCCACATACTTTATACTTATCCTGTTTATTCCTAGCATCAACTGTGAAAGTTACATCTTTTTAGCACTAGTTTATAGGCAGATTAATAGTCATCCTTTAAAAGCATCAGTGAATCCAAGCATTAGAGCAAAATGGAGATACAGAAAATGAATCTTGCATGTGTTACCTCTGACTCTTTGCCTAAGTTTTATCCCCTGAAGGCAGATGTTCCAACCGTGATTATCACTACCATCTACATGTTCCCTGTAGGTACACTGCCCAAATAATGATGACCCTTTCTGTATTGATCCTTCCTTGTACATCAGAGCTAGGCTTATATCAAAGCCAATTGCTAAATACTAAGGCAGAACAAAAAGAAATTCAGAAAGAAAATTAACTAGAGTGATTGCCACTACCAAAACTACCACCCATTGCTGGTCATTGTGTTTCAACTATGGGCCACATGCTTCAAAAATAAGACCAGTCAAAATGACTAAGAAGAAATTTCGAATCCCAGGGCTAAGATTACATACCTTGGCTAGACATGTGTTCCACTGAAGGACCTCTACCATAGGTAAACAGGGGAAGGAATCCTCTGGCCAGGCTTATTTCCCCCTTTCTGTAAATAAGATTTCCGGTAAGAGTACATTTTGACAGTATTTGGCATCTGAGGTCCGTGCACAGCTTTTCCATGCAAGACAGGGCATTTGTCCCTGTAGCTTTATCAGGGAGGGCAGGCCAGAGTTGAGACCAAAGCATTCAGTTTCCATTGCCCTGGATGATCCTGAAAGGGGGCATATGAGGTCACTTACATAATTCTGTGTAGAAGTAAACATTTCATTTCTTATTGAGGAAGGAAGAAAGGAAAAGGAGGAGAGTCAGAGTTCTGGCTCTGGAGCCTCTTCAAATACTGGCTTAGCTGCTGGCCCTCCTGGAAGGCAGAAGTGCACTGGGGCCTGCCATGTGCTTGTTATTTTTGATGGATTGCAGTCTAGCTGCAGGGCAGGAAGCTCAAACCCCCAGGGTCACGTTGTTGTAGCTCGCAAAGATGTTGAGGCTTGAAACATTTTATTGTAGCTAGGCCCGATGAGAGTTTCAGGTACTGTCTTCAGGATCCCTTACTCTTCCTTCTTTGTGTTCCCCCTAGATATAAAAGAATCACTCCAAATTGCATTCCTCTCCCACACCCTTCCACATATACACTCAAGCTGAATATGAAAATTGGTCTGTAATTGTTGGATATAAGCTTGACTAGCTTTGAATTAACAGCTAAAGCTGTATTCATTAATCTGAACAGGGAAGAGCAAGCAGACTGTCACAACACGGCTCAGTTCAGTAGTCATGCAGAGCAGGTGAGAGAACAGGGAGGCACTTTGAAAGTGCAGCAGCCGATCTCCATCAGTCCCATCAACCAGTGATGAAGAGGGAAAGGCAGCCAGCCACAATATTGCCACGAGATGGATGGCATCCCTCAAAGTCCACCATCCCAGGGGCATCCCAGTGATGATCGATGGTTATCCACAGCAATTAAACTTCAGGGCTTTAAAATGTCAATCTGGAATGGAATGCTCTCTCATAAATGTGTTGTTTAACATTTATCAAACAAGTGGACAGAGTGGGGCTGGGGAGATGTGGAGACATTCTTTAGGGAAAGAAGAAAAGTTAGAGCTTGGGGAATGGGAAAACCATGTCAATAAAATGTGATTCACTTCTACATGTTCTCTTCATCATTTAAATAAACTGGAGCAGAACCTTTTTGCAAAGACTCCTGGGGCAGTTGAGATTCAGTGGGGTATGGTGAAAAGAATGGATAATAAAGGTTTGGAAGGAGCAGTTTTAAGCCATTGCTTTTCTACTTAGGATGATATACCTTGGAGAAATCAGAACCCTACCTGCCTAAATAGGAAAGGCAGGTGGGAATGATAAGTTTAACCTCCAGTGTGTGTTAGGACCTCCTGGGAGCTTTAAAACATACCAGTGGCTGGCACTCACCTATACATATTCTGATCCAATAAGTTCAAGATAGGACCGGGCATGCATATAGTTGTGACATATATAGTCAAGATTGAAAGCCAGTGAATGAGATAATTTCTAAGTGTCTTCCACTCTAAATTTTCATGTTTTTTTTTCTTATAGAGATATTCCTAAAATAGAAGACACTGAATTAATAAGAAAAACTTTCCATCAGAACACATGGTATTGATGGATGATGATACAATGGTCAATATTTTTTTCTGCCACCATTTTGTATTTATTTAATTCTACATTGGAATAACTTTTGCAATTTTTATCAAATTCAGAGTCGGTCAGGTTTACTGGGACAAAGCATAGTTGAGGACCATGACTCTGAAGTGTCACATGGATATCACCCTCTAAGAATGGTAGTTGGAGAAGAGTTCTTTGAACAAAAAATTGCTGATAGAATTACCAATCCTGCGTGCTCTATTTCAGCATTCTCTCCTGTTTATCTCTCTGTTTTGATTAGTTAGATGGTGGCTTAATATTTTCAAATATTAACGGATGATTTGAAGTTCCTTCTGTGTTTCCTTCCTCACCCTCCTTCCTATATTCAGGCAGGCAATTGGCTTCATAATTGGCACTTTTGGGCAAGGATAGAAAAAAAGAAAAAGGCATACACAAGTTTGAGTCCCTTAAACCTGGTTCCTTTAAGGAGAATGAAAGTGAGTGAAGAATAGAATGAAGAGAAATTAAGGGCAAATGAGAACACAGACTTTGGAGGGCCCAGGAGATGGGAATTTGGGCTTGCTTTATACAAAAAGTGATGGGGAGTGACAAGGAAGGAGCACAACCTAAAAGAGATGTGTGAAGCCTAAGGGAAACAGTGATTAAATGCCTTTTCTACATGGAGAACCCCACAGTAGAAAATCCCAGAGAAGGACGGCTATAAGGCCTAAGAACACATGGCATAGGTAGCTTGTCAGATATTCCCATGTATCTAAGCAACAGCAAGAATCTTCAAACCTGGAGGAGTCTCTGGGGCAGGATTGTCTCAATAGCAATTGTGCAAGTTGATGGCAGAAGCCCCAGGCCAGGACATGCTTATAAAGATGAGTGACATAGACTGGATTGTCCATACCTTGCCCTGATACTATGTAAACTCCAAGGAACAAATGTACTGCAATTGCATGGTGGAATATAAATTAAAGCATCCATTAAATATCATTGAGATATGATATTATTATATTATTTCATTCTGATAGGAGTAAAAGATAAAAAAAAAATCCCACATACATATAGTCCCTTCTGATTGGTACAACTGTCAGAAGTCTATGGAGTAATAAAATGGATTCCCATTTAGAACAAGTGTTCACTCTGCACAGAGAATTCTGTTGCTTTAAATGAAAACAGGTAGAGAAGCAGACTGGTAAGAGATAATTCCATTTGCAAGAGAAGAATTCTAATCTATTTGCATGCCAAAGTGTGTAGTACTTTTCACTTTATTGTCACTCCATTAATCTAATTTCAAAAGGGAAGATTCAGGCTGAAAACAAGTTATTCACATTTCAAACAAACTCCATAAGCATAATGAGTGAGCAAAGCATTCAACTGTTAGACTCTGTTGCTTCTTCACCAGCTGGAGACAAGTGTAGGGAAGGTCATGCTATTTAATCTTACATAAGAATAGATGCACATAGATTCGGTTGGAGAAGGAATTATTTTGAGAAATGGCAAATAGTAGATCTTTTTCTGTATTGGATATTTATGTACAATTGGGGATAAGCTGAGCAGCTCAATGGAAACTATTTCCATCTTGTTTTAGTCTGCAGAATGACTGACTGAACGAAAAATTCCACCGTAAATCATGAGAAATAGCAAGAGTCTCATAGACCAAACACCACTCTACTACCAACTCAGGAGCTTGGAGCTTGGAGCAACTAGAAATACTTCCACCCCAGGAATTTCCAGGACATCTGGTAAGTCAACAACATTATCACAAACATTATGGCCAACAATGTGAGTTTTTTTTGCAACAATGTATTCATTTCCCAAATGTTCCAGCTGAGAAAGCCACACAGAACATTCCGCCATCTAGCAGATGGCTAATGGGGAAGCCAATATTTTCTGTGGAAACCAAAGTTTCTTCTAACGTTAGACATTTTCAGCAGAGTGAACAAATAAGCATTTGTTTTTGTATTTCATTCTCTCACACTCAGAAAGGGAATGTATTACAGACTATTAAGTTTTAAAAGTGCATAAGAAAAATGGTTCTTTCCTTGAGATTACAGAGGTTGTTAAAAACAGAAACGTTTGGAAGTGGTGAGAACATTTACTGCTTCCTCATGTGGTATAAGACAGAGTTGGGAGAAATTTTTAAACTCTATTTATTATTACTGTTTATTATGATCATTGATTTGTGGGGGAAATCTCATATTACACGGTTGGAAATTATTTACTGTGGTTTTTTTTTTTTATACAGTCAATTATTCTGCAGACTAAAACAAGATGAAAATAAGTATCATTGGACTGTTTATCTTATCTACAACTGTGCATGGATACCTGGTAACTCATGGGATATGGAGATATCAATGTGCTATAGGGACAGACCAGGCAAGGCACTGAAGATAGCAAGAAACAGTTTTATTTAGCTGCAGCCAGGTTCAGAGGGCCCAGCTTTTGCTGTAATCAATCAATCCCCTGAACCTCGAGTTCAGGTAGTTTCAGAATTTTATACCCAGCATGTTAGGGGAGGAGCTCAAAAGTTCACTTCTGTAGAAGTTCACATAAAAGCAGCTTTTCTTTTACTCTTCTGGGCAAATTAATCCTTTAAAGTCAATACCTGAGAAAGGGAGAGCTTCTTCTCCCCTTTCTTCCCTCCCCTGCCAGGTGTGACCATGGAGCCCAATTGGTAACTTCTCTTATCTTAGAAATGTAGACATCTCTGTGAAGCCCCAGCTTAAGGCCAGAGGCCTTGTTTACACATTTCCACAAACTACTATACTGGATACATGTCTGTGAAAAACTAGTAAGGGGGTGTCCAGCACCTGGAGTGCTGATTTCTTCCTGGCCAGTGGCCAAGTAAGATAGGGCAACACGAAAACTGAAAGTTTATCTACACTGAACTCTTTTGTAGAGACTCTTTTGCTCACAGTCCTAAAATCAGCCACGGTGAAGATGTTTGGAGAAGCACAGTTATAAGACTTTTCTGTGGAGAAAGGGGGTGCCACTTCAAATGGACCTTGATTTCGTAGAAAATGTGACAAAATATACAAGGCTGAGTTGCCACATCTATTTTAGGGAAGAGTGGGAGAAAATGAAAGCAAAGGATAAAACATGTTATATGATTAACATTGAGTCAATACATCTAGTTTCACAGACTTCACCTTCCTGTGCCAGGAAACCAGGAGAGTTTACCTAAAAATATTTTATCTTCACTTATTATTACTGTGGTTTGGATCTCACCTTTCCCCCAAAGGCCCAGGTGTTGAAGACTTGGTCCCCCTGCCCATGGTGGCACTATTGGGAGGTAGTATTACCTTTAAGAGGTGGGGCCCAGAGGGAGGTGTTAGGTCCTTGAAGGGGATTGTGGGATCCTGGTCCTTTCCCCTCTCTCTTTTCACATCCCAGCTGTCATGAGATGAACAACTTTCCTCCACCACGTGCTCCTGCCATTGATATTCTGCCTTGCCACAGACCCAAAGCAACAGGGGCAAGTGACCATGGACCGAAACCTCTGAAATTGTGAGCCAGAACAAAACTTTTCTCTGCACAAATTGACTTATCTCGGGTATTTTGTCCAGGTGATGGAAAACTAACATTATTATTAAGCATTCAAGTAAATGTATAAAGAAATACACTTGTAGCAAAGACTTTAAACAGTGGGAACTTGTTATGAATGTATGTTTCAGTTCACTTATTTGTTTTGTTGTTTAAGGAGTTTGAAGGACCAAGATGAAATTTCCATTTTTCTGGGAATAATGGAAAATGCATATTTTTATGTGTCTGCTCTCTGACTAAAACCCCTTTTCAAATAACTAATTTGATGCTGCCATGCAAAAACTTTGGCATGTAAAATTACACTTATTTTTCAACAGGCTCCAGAACTATGCAACAACATATTTATGTTGTTTCAAGTCACCTAGTTTGTGGTGCTTTGCTACAGCTGCCTTAGAAAAATAATATACTAGGTGATTCTGATATGCTGATCTTCAAACTGTACTCTTGTCACTTCCCTATATTCTAACTTTTAATACCTCTCGGGTAATTATGATATTTGTTAAATGCTTAAATCTAAGCTTGGTACATAGAAGTACCAAGTCCTATATCTATTCCATGCATTTTATGTTTTCCTCAAAGCACTATTTAATGCCTTCATATAAACATAATAAGTAGTTTTTAAATTTAAAAAGCTACTTATTGCTAAGAGCAGTGTTATGGGTTTATGTGTATGACTTGATATGGTTTTTACATGGAACGGATATGAAAGCAAATTCTTAATAATATTATAATTGGCATATGAATCCTATAGTTTCTGTGACTGAGCTTGAGATTAAGATCAGTAGTGAAGTAGTAATTCATTTTACAAAAAAAATTGCATCTTAAAGGCCTAAGCATGTGCATGAATCTTTAAAACTTTAGTCACTGGGTCTTCTGTCATACAGTGGAGGCATACAAGAGAGCACCTACAATGCAGATCACTGAGAAGGAGTTTTGTCAACTGAGTATCCTTAGTTATCAGTGCATTTTCAGCAGTAACACGACATGCTCTTTGGTTTATGGATGGACAACATAGTGAATATGTGATTCAAATAAATGCAAACTGGGATCCAAAATCTCATTGTATTAATAATATGAATAGATACCAATAATGTGTGTTAACTGTCTGCCAAGTACTCTACTAAATGATTTACCTGTTTTGCTTCATTTAATTCACATGAAAACCCATAATAAAGTTGATAGCACTTTACCTCCATTTTTACCAAAAGGAGAGCTGAGGCTCAGAAGAATTGAGAACCATGCTGTAGAATACACAACTGTGGTCAGTGGCAAAGCTTACATTTATATACAGGTAGTCTGATTACAGTGCCTATGCTCCCAAACTCTTTAAAAAGCTAATATTTTATTCTGAAAGACTGCATTCACAAGGTATTATTTGTGTACACATATAATATAAACATATACATACATGTTTATATATAATATAAACACCAGTCTTCAACAAACAGACAGAAGGTTACAGGACTCTAGAAGCTTCCTGTGCTGCCCCTATGATCACATACCTTCTGACAGCACCTCCTTACCTACAGGCAGACTTTCTGATAATCATGGTGACCAATCCTTGTTCATCTATAGCTTTATCATCTACGTTTCTAGCTATCAACCATGCATGCTCTCTCTCTCTCACACCATCTTGCCTTTACCTTGCATTCACTGCCTTTTGCAGTCCAGGTTCTGATCTCATTTCCCATCCTTTTCCTACTTGAACCTGGTCCTATGATTTCGACTTGATTTTTACAACCCCAATATACTATATGCATTACTTCTTCTTTCCTATTTGTTTCAGTGAACTCCTTCCTCTCAGCCTCCTGTACGCAAATTCAACTTTTCTTTGCAGCCACCTACATAGGGGTGCTTTCCTGATGGGTTTTCTTTAGCTCCATCTCCCCTGAACTGCTATAGTCCTTGTATCTATTCTACTCATATTTCAATCAGCACACGTTCTCCAGGCACCCATCTAGTGCTGTCCTCAAAGCACTATTGAATGCCTTAATATCAAAAGTCTTAAACTGTTTGCTACTATTATTAATATTTTGCTCATTATGAATTTCTCTTTTCAATGAAAATCTACCAAACACATGTTGTGGCAGATGTAAATTCTCTATATGGTTAGCTCTCTCTGATCAATAGGTTCTGTATCTGCAGATTCAACCAACTACAGATAAAAATATATTGCATTGGACCAGAGTGCAGTGACATGCATCTGTAGTCCCCGCTACTGGGTGACTGAGGCAAGAAGATGGCTTAAGCCTAAGAGTATGAGATTAGCCTGAACAATATAGTGAGACCATGGTTTAAAAAAATACTATATTCAAAACTTGCATCTGCATAAATGTTTATAGATTTTTTTCTTGCCTAAATAATACAGTATAACAATTATTCACATAGCATTTTCATTATATTAGGTATTAAAGTGGATAAGTTGTATGCAAATACTAGACCATCTTATATAAAGGGCTTGAGCATTTGTGGACTCTGGTATTCACACAGGTCCTATAAACAAACCCCCATGGATCCTGAGAGACAGGACTGTATGCATCAGGAAGTAAAATATAAAAAGTCCCTTCCCTCATGGAAATTACATTCTAGAGTACAAAGACAAATAAGAAACAAGTAAACAAAGTAGTAAGTGAGAAAATTTCAGATTATTGTAAAACTATAAACACTATGAAGGAAACAAAGCAGGGGTAGGGGTGGTGAGAAAAGGGGGATATCCTGGCAGCTGAGATGTTCTCTACCATCGGGTTAAGGAATTTTCAGTCAGAACAGCTAGTGCAAGGGTCCTGGGACAGAAACAAGCTTGGCATGGAGCGGGTGAGGAAACAGTGGGAGGACAACAAGATACAGAAGTGGTATTGACTGATAACATGGGGTTGTTTAGGTCCTGGTAATGAGCTTTGATTTTTTTGTTTTCCTAGATGCAGTGGGATACCATTGCAGAGTTTAAAGAATGGGAAGAATGTACTTTCATGTTCTTATAAGTTCTTCCCTTACTTTGTCTTTTAACTTTTAATGCGCATGTCTTTCCCTCTAACTAGAAGTTTGATGTTTAGTGTTGCTTCTCTGTTGATGCTGCTAATGGTGTTGAAAATGCTGTGTGGATGCCCTTTCAATGCTGTAATTATACTAACTCTTTATTTCAGCTTTAGAATGTCGAACTTTTCTGAGAGCATGAGTATACTCAAAAATTCATCAATTCGATAAAGTTTCAATTGGACAACTGAAGTAGCTTTATGCGGTTATTACACTGTCAACAAACATGACCTGCCTTGCTAGCAACACGAGAAGTGCCAAAACACTTGTTAGTGGTTCAAAATCTAAAGTGTGCCTTCTTTACGATTAGGGGTAACTTGATGAGACTTGAATGCCAGCTGACCTTTCGTGCACTTCTCAAAGCAAGACATACAGAGCTAGGAAGAAGAACCGAGATTTCTGATAAAAACTGACAGACAGAGCCATTGCCTTTCCAGTTAAATTTCCTAGGGACTTTCTGCATTTCATCTCCATACGGTATGTGCTTCTGAGAATTTTAAACAAGCAAAGCAACTGTCAAGAAGTGAAAATGAACCCTAACCAAATTTATCAACTTACACAAAACTGAGACATAAATGTAGAAGGTTGGGTGGGGGAGAGCTATTAATAATAAAGAGGTAGTTTTTTTGTGTGTGTTCTGACAGCTAAGAGCATGCATTTAACTCTGAACATTTTATGTGGTTAATACTTAGATTGCTCTTTATTATCCAAATAAGCAACAGTGTGCTTCAGAAGTTGGAAGAATGATCTGTGAGTCTTCGAATGAGGCAGGCCAGGAGCAAGGCATGCGGCTGTTGCCCTCAGGCAGGATTTTTTGGGGACCCAAGGTGTGTGGGTGTAGGGGGCATTGGTGCTAGCCAGTCAGGATTGGTTATTAGATAGGGGACCAGGCACCACTGGCTCTGAGAGAAGTACTGATGCTCTGATCACACTCCATTACTCCTCCATGTTATTAATGAGCCAGATTTCCAAAAGGGAACGTTCCCTTTAAGTATGCAATTTTATATTCACCAGAATGACTTACAAATGGCTTGTACTTAAATGGTGCAACCGTCCAAGTGCCAATCACTTGATCCTCAGACTAGAGTTGTTAATGACTCACTGCTCCAAGAACAGTGTGAAAAACATGGGTCAGAAGATGCTTTACAATAATTGTACTTAAAAATGTTCCCCTAGAGATGGAGGCTTAGGCGGAGATGGTAGTATTCAAGTTGCCTGGGACCTACTCTTCAATGCTAAAATCAGCAGACATCCTCCAGCACTGAGCTAGTTGCCAGGAATGTAATGGTGAGCAGGACAGAAAGGGGCGCTGTGTTTATGGAGCGTTCAGACATGGTGGATAGGAAACGCACACAGTCAGGGCTGACAGGAGGAAATTCAGGCAAGTTGTATTTAAGGCTCATGGAGGAAACCAGCAAGAGACTGAGATTATAAAACAAGGAAGTCATCAAACTAACATATTGTTTGACTTAATTTAGGCAATAAGAGAAAGTCTTGATGTAGATGTGACCTTTTTGTTGAGATGTGAAATAAGAGGTGCTAGTCATGAGAATACTGGGGTGGAAAGGTGAGAGCTTACCAAGCAAAGGGAATGGCACAACTGGGGGTAAGAAAGACTAAGGTATGTTCTAAGCACCAGAGATATACTGAGCAACTAGACCTTGCAGGAGAGAAGGCATGGGCAATGTGAGATGGACCTAGGGACTCCATAGTCATGCGAAGATGTGTGAATTTATGCTAAATGCACTTCTCAGCTACTGAAAGTTTTTAAGTAGGGGAAGATATGCTCAGACTAGGATCTTAGAAAGCGTATTTCCTCTGCATTTCTAAAAATACTCAGCGTATTGATATGATTTGGAGTCTTGACAAAATCAAAGCTCTTCTAAGATTTCAAATTTTCTTCTTCTCATACTACTCAATCTAATATTTATTGAGTATCTACTATATTTTCTATGTAGTAACTATGGACTCATAAAGAATACAGAAGCTTACTGGTTTTTGGAGGGCCTACCACACAAAACCAGAAATCTTCGTATTTATGACCCATGATCTTTTAACCTGGAGTTCAGAGATTCTAGGTGTTCAATGGGGAAGCAATTCTTTGACTCTGAGAGTCATGAGAATTTCCTTAAAGAACTCTCCATCTCCAGGATTCTAGATTGGCAGCATATTTTAATATTTAAGCAGTTTAGAGGCCTGGCTACAAAAGTCCCATGTAACAATTGTGGAGGTTATTATGCATCTTATGTGTGTGCGTGTGTGTATGGGCCCCTGCACACGTGTGTTTGAAGCTCAGCTCATTTCATTAAGGGACAGCCCTGGCACTATAGCTTGATCAACTTATAACAGTCTTTTTTCACCTGTGAGTGCTTTACTTCACCAATAATGTTCAAATATGCTGTGATCATCTGTGACATATGTTATGTCATTATGGGCAGCAGAGAGAGACAGGATAATTCAAACTTTCCATGTTAAAAATTATATAACAGTAAAGAGTTAAACTACTGGCACATTTAAAGAGGAATCTGGGAGGATCATAGGTCTTCCTCAAGGGATTTTTCTTGTTATTTTTGATGACTTAAAAAATCTCTTTCCTTTACGTCAACTAGAAACTCGCTTTCTAGAATGCTAACGGATGGGCTTCCTGCTATCATAGAGTAAAACATATGTGCCTTAGGCATAAAGACTTATTCTCACCCTGGCTCTTATCTTGGTGAAACAGTCTGCTGACAGTATCACCCTTTGTCTAACCGGGCTTCGAGCTGCTGCAGTCGACACTAAAACCAGAAAAAGAGAGAGGGCACCAGAGATCCTTTGGCTGCCACAGGCATAAGCCACTATCTTCACCCAGCAAAAATTGCCTGATTCCTTTTCTTGATAAAACTAGACATGAGTTTAAAAACATCACTTAAAAACATAAACCTCAAATACCTAAGTCCTTACTTCTCTTCCTTTATCATTCGCTAGAGCCTTTGAGAATTGGAAGGGGGTGGGTAACTGCTTGTAATGAAATGCACTTAAAGAGAGGGAGATGTTAGATTCCATTTTTGAGGCATGGTTGATAGAAGCATTATCTCTGGAGGGCTTATTCAATCAAGAGCCCGAGCTGCTGAAGCAAGCAGAGATTAAGCGATGAAGAAAGGGTTTCATCAAGGCACCAAAGCACACTCTGCTGGCGAAGCCTTCCACTGGCTTTCCTGAGCTCTGGCTCTCCTAAAACACACACTTCCAGATGGACAACCTCAGGTGACAATTCCCTGAGAGGCCTCAAAGCTTGGTCTTTTGCAAAGCCTTCATGTTCTCTGCCTTGCTCACCCAATCCATTTCTCAGCATTGTTCTATCTGAGTTCTCCACTCGTGCCCAGTGTCATATCCATCCCAAATGTTCCATTGACCTGAAGACTCTCCTCCACTTACCTCTTCCACTTGCCTCTGTTCCTGATACTCTTATCACCTTCAATGACCCAAGACAACTGTTATCTTCTTCATAACCCTTTTCAGATCATTACCACTTATTTTCTGTTCCTAGATATTTGGCTTCCATTCCCTTGTTTTAACATTTCCACATTCCTTTCTGCATTCTGGTTGTGTTTCTATACCCACTCTTCTTCACACTTTTAAGTTTCTGGAAGAAAACGAACCATTTTCAGTCCTATGTCTTTTTTCAGAAACTAGAACATCCAAAGAACATTTATTGAATCATCCTAATAAGTTACTAGAGAAAACTAGAGAAGACATTCATAATCTCTGTTCTCATGGAGTTTATATTCTGGTAGGAGACAAAAATAAATAGGACGCATAGGCGAACAAAAGGTTTTGAGATAAGAGAGTCTCTAGGAGAAAGGAAATTCCATTAAATAAGGTTTAGGAGCAGGTGTCTTTGTAGTGGTGGCCAAGGGAATAGGAAATGGCCAGAGGGGCAGGCCCAATGGAGCATTCTGGGGAGTAAGATCAACAAAATCTTGAGGCAGGATAAAGCTTGTTGTTTGCAAGATGAGAAATCATTTTTGTGGGAAGGAGAGGAAAGGCAGGAGTTGGAGCTAGATAGATAGGCAGGTGCCAGGTGATCAGGACAAGAAGCTGAGACTCTATTTCAACTGCAGTGGGAAGCCGTTGGGGAAGCTATCGTGTGATTCATGTTTTTCAAAGGTAATGTTGGTATTTGTTGCATTAAACTATCTCTTCAAAAGACTAAGGCTTATTTACTGTGGTTGATTTTTAATGATCTTTCTTCACATGAAATATCTGCAGAGTTCAAGGACTCATAGAGTAAAACAAGCAGATATTAAAAAAACAGAAGAATACTTTTATGTTTATTATCTCGTCTGGTTTAGTTTTAATTGTCTCAGTTCTACTAATATATGAAACAGGTTTTGCCAAGCTATCTTCAAGTATAAATAGAACATTGGAGAATAAGGACGATAGGAGTTTATGTGAGTGCGGGTACTCCTTTTACTGAATTCATAGAACATATGTTTTAAAATACAATAGCACAATAACTTGTCCTTGTAATTAAAAATCTCCTCCCTTTACTTTGTTTCTTGCTTCATCCAGGGTTACCCCTCATAAATGGAAAAATATATATATATTTTATTGTTCAAAGCAGGAGTCTGCTCATACCTGGAAATAATTAATTTAACGTTTTCAGATTTTTTTGTAGTCTCAGAGACCTTTGCTGATCTTTCTTCCACTAACAATAAATAAGTGAAGTGGCACTTATTATTTAAAGCAGATGAAAAGAATGGACAAGAAATGTGATAGGAATAACAACTTTTAGATGTAAAAATTAGGGAGAGTCAAAAGAACAGACTTTATGCTTAAAGAAATTCAATTCTATTACTTTTAGAAAAATTTTCTGGTAATAATGCAGCAAGCTTATATTGAAGGCCACATATTTGTAGCTGAAAAGGCTGAAAATAGTTCACACAATGAAACCTAATTCTAAGGCAAACTGACATAAACCAAATGCTCATGATAGATCCACCTACATGTCATAAATAGAACGGGATCTGCAACAGTGGGAGTCTAGTCCATCTCTAATTTTATTCTTATTGGTACACATCTTGATTAGTTTGAAGATAGAATAAATATTTCAATTAACTTAAACATAACCACTCCAGGATGTGTTTCTAGGATCAAGGTCCTCTGGGAGAAACGGTTTAACAAGAATGATTAATGACAAAATTTATCATGAAATTAGCTTGCTAAAATTTCTAAAATTTTTGAAAATAATTTTTGTGGTGACAATCACTGAAAGAGGTAAAATTATTAGATGCATATTAGTAGCCTTTAAGCATTTTATGAAGTAACCCAGTAAAATTGACTTTTACCCAAGCTCACTGTACCCACTTTATTGGCAACATTTCATCTGTGGGTTGTTGTTGAGACATTTTTACTGTTTACCAGATGGGGTAAGATTTTTACATAACTTAAAACATCTGCTCTCATTGCAGTCCAATATGATCATCTATTTATATTTTTTTGAATTTTATTATTCATTTTCTTGAAAATGCTTTCAGAAGGACAAGTTTACATGGTATTTGCCAAAGACATTTAACTTTTCCCTACATTTTTCTTATTTATCTTCGATTGGCATAAGCCATATTGTGAGTCATAAATGTAGTGAAATATTTAGATATATCTCCTTTTTATGAAATACTTGATTTCACAAATTAACTGTTGTTAATATCACCTCTGCTTTCATATATACACCTGCATGTAATCATTTCAGCATAAATATAAAACACAGAAAAAAATTTTAGTTTGTGCCAAGGGTCTGACAGACATTAAAGACTTCATAAAATATTCTGAGGACTAATGCTTATCCTTAAAGAATAGAAGAAAAAAGTAAGTGAAATAGAAAAAGAAAGGAAATCATTTACTGGGACACTGAACAAGTTAATAATAAGACACACTTTTGTGTAATTTACAAAGCACTTTTTCAAGTAACAATCAAAATCGAATATAGATGTTATTATTGTCTCATTATGTAAATGAGAAAACAAAAGCCTAAGGACAACTCACCCCAGGTCAGTGGTAAAACCACAGGAACTCAGACCACAGTCTCTGCCTCTTCCCATTTCATCACAGTCAAGTGTGAGATACTGAATTCTTGGAGACCTAAATGGAGGCACATAGGTTCATGATTCTGAGAGCTGAGGATGATGACTCTCCTAATGTTTAAGAGTGGCACAGAGTGTTCAGGCCTGAAGCTCCTCATGGGTCATGATGTCTCGTAGGTGTAGTGAGTGGGTTGTGTCCTCCTAAAGGCATGCCTGGTCCTAAACCATTATCCTTGAATGTGACTTTATTTGGCAATAATCTTTGCAAATGTAATTAAGTTAAAGACCTTGAGATGAGATCACCCTGAATTTAGGTTGAGCTCTGAATCCAAAGTCAAGTATCTTTATACGAAATAAAAATAAAGAAGGCAAACAAACAGTAGCCACATAAAGATGGCCAAGGAACACCAAGAATTAGTCAGAGACACCAGAAGACAGGAGAAAAACATGCAATATATTCTCCCTCAGAACCTCCAGAGGGAATCAACTAAGCCAACTCAACACCTTGATTTTGATTTTGTACTTCTGGTGTCTAGAGCTGTGAGAGATTAATTTACTGTTTTTTAAGTCACCAAATTTGTGCTAATTTTTTTTTAGTGACAGCCTAGGAAACTAATATAGCTGGACTCTCTTTAGAAACCATGAAAAGAATAATATACCAAAACCAGAATTTGAAGTACATTTGTTTGATACAGAAAACAGGAAAAAAAAATGGCAAGATAACCAAAAGATACTGATTGAAAAAGATTAAGAAGCAAAACTATTAGTGGAAGCCAACAAGTCTTTTCTGATGCTCCTATTGGCCTGTTTTCTTTCCCCTGAAATATAAAAAGTGTGAATGTGATTCAGGAGATTAGCAGCCTAGGACATCTGCTAATTAATCATGTGACCCTGAGAAAGTTGCCGAGCCCCTCAGAATCTCCTGGATGAAGCTGGCACACTTCCAGTTAGACTGTGCACTTCCTCACCTGAAGGCCAGTTGGCTTAGCACCACTATTTACCCTGGAGTAAAGACGGTTTGATGGAATGAAGGTTTTGAAACCAAAGCTTGTGGGTACAAATCTTACTTCTTCCCCTTAGTAGATATGAAATCAAAAGCAGGCTGGTAAATCTCAGCCTTGTTTCCATTCTGTTAAGATCATTACACATTCTCTAGAAGACACTGAGTGGGTTAAATGGAATAATATACGTAAAATACATTTTTGGTTTTTTGCAGGTAGTTGGTTCTCATAAATGCTTTTTTCTTCCTCCACTAAACTTTAACTTTTGCCTCAGTTCCTTCAGTTTTTTATGTTTCTCAATCCCAGAGACTTTCCTAATTACGGACACACAGTATTCTCAATCTCTTTTTAAAAATTTCCATTTTTGAATATTTTCATCCTCACTGAACTTTCTGGCTCTGTAGTTTTCATATCACTGAATGACTAGAGGATATGTATTATGTTTCCTTTCATTAATTTTAAGAAAATAATAGGTTGGCTGCTGAGGGCCATTGCCAAGTAGGAATGACGCATCGAAATTTCCTTGCCAGCATACCCCATGTTAAATGGACTTGCCTTGGAATTTCGCTGTTGACATTGCATGTAAGGTGACCTTGCTCAAGGACCAGGGCGGATCCGGGTTTAGAGATGATCAGGTTTGAGGAAGTATCCCACTCCTTGAGTTTAAGGCGTTCCCGGTTTAAGACAATAGGGGTTTTAGGGAAGTTGGAGGTTGAAGATTAATGCTGCTGGGATTAGGGTGTTCCTGCTGCTTGTTCAAATGGGATTTGGAAAAAAAGCCTCGTGGAGTAGATGAATTGGGCTGGGAGATTTTGGATTTCCCCTCAACGTGTGTGGAGGCCCGTGTGAGTTTGGGGAATAAAGAATTGCTGTTTGAATCTACAAAGCTGTGAGTGGCTCGTGATTCAGTGCCAAGCCGAGACACTGGCAGTTGGCTATGTGTATATTCTTTCAAGCTATACACTCAGAACACCTCATATATCTCCCAATTTGAAAATCTGTGGACTAATATTCTAACATTGACTCACTAGAAACCATGCCCTGACATTGTCTGGCAAATGGAATGACAGTTTATCTATGAGTTGGGGGAAGAGCTTTATAAATGAGAAAACTTTTTGTGTATACCTATAATGCACCTGAAAGATCACACATTTGCATAAAAATTTGGCCTGACTAAAAGCAATACTATATGAAAAAGGTCAGGGGCCCATAAATAATAATAAAACACCCTTAAAATCTAGATGAACTCTACTATTCAGTCTCATTGCTATTTTCCAGTTAAAAGAAACAAATTCCAGCAGCCAATGAATTTGGAAATAAATCTCTAACTCATTGCTTATCCTCTAAGGGTAGTAGGATATATCACTGAGCAGCACTTAGGAAAATCCCCACTTTTCTCTTCTCTGTTTCCACCACACACTTGAAATTGCTCTGGAGAATTCTCTGTAGCTCACAGACTTCAATTTCTGAACCCAGAGTAATTCCTCCTGTCTCTATCTACTGTGTTCCTTCACAATTCACATTGACCTGTCCTATCCAGCTGCATAAACCTCCTTCTGTTCAAAAGCTATAGGGAGGTGGGAGCAGGGTGACATATGCTTGTAATCTCAGAGTCTCTGGAGCCTGAGGCAGAAGGATCACAAGTTCAAAGCCAGACTCAGAAACTTAGTGAGACCCAAAGCCACTTATTGAGATCCAGTCCCAAAATAAAAGATAAAAGACTAAGGATGTGGCTCAGTGGTGAAGCACCCCTGAGTTCAGCCCTTGGTACCAAACCAAGAAAGCCGTAGGGAGGAGAGGGTTAGCCTAGGCAATGCCAGAATTCCCTTCCTTGGACTAGGGGAGAGGTTGTGAATGTTCATGTAAAGATTAATTTTTAGTTCTGTCACAATATTAATAACTTTATGATTATAAATTTATAACTTCAGATATATTATTACATATCATATTTTCTCTTTAAAACATCCTGTAAGAATCTTATAATACATCATTATATTTCCGAGACTGAGTCTCCAAAGAGGTTTCTAACTTGTCTAAGAGAAGCATAGAGGGAGACCTTGAACCCAGGGGTGAATAGCCACTGAGC